CTCTTAACGAGGTGAAGCATGTTTCTCTGCCTGCTGGGAGAGGCAAGTTGGGTGAGGTTTTCTAGGGGTCTGGCACTTATAATTGATATTGCTTAACCCTTGAAGCCCCTCGTCAGCTTGTGATGTGTACGGTCTTATACTTTCCTGCAGGGAAAGAAAAACTTGTGCCAAAGGGCTAATATGAAAGTGAGGGTCTGCTTTCAGGCTATTGCTGAGTGAATCTGGAGAACTGAGAATTCACATATTTTGCAGATGAAAGAAAATCCTTTTCACTAATGTTCAATATCTTTCTTGTCAACAGTAATGCAGATGACAGGTCCACTGTGTCTACAAGAGAAGGAATGGCTCTTGCTGAAACTCTTGGTGTGTCATATGCAGAGTGTAGCTCCCTAACAAACACTGGAGTGCAGGAAGCTCTGAATAAAGCTGCAGAAATGGCTGTTAGTTTTCATACCCAGAGAAAAAGATCAACTGCAAGAGTTTTGGGCTTCTTTAAAAGGAAAAACAAAAATTCCATGTCAGCTCAGGATCAGGAAATTTTTCCCCCTCAACTGCCACCAGCAGGTATTAAAAGTTATATCCTCTGTAGTAGTTGGTGACACACTAAACAATTCTTTGATTTTGTATTTGAGTTGTAAAGTACATGCATCTATAGATAATATTGTTTGATCAACTGAGTTCACAATGTAACTAGTTCCTATACTGACATTTCAAGAGTTAGCCCTAATAGTCTCTGCTGACTAGTGTTTCTTGCTGAGTTTCCACATAGAGCTCTACTTGCTGCTTGCATGTGGTTTCACAGTATTATAAATATTCATCTTTATTAATGCTACTTATTTTTCATGGTTAATGGCTGTTTTTAACAGTGAGAAGATTACTTGGTTGCTATTTTCTTTTTGCAGGTTTTGCTCCCCATGTGGAGGTACTCAGCTCAACATTTGCCAGTGAATGGGATTCTATGTTGTCTGACACAATGAGTGCAGATGTCAGATTTGTATTCTCTGATGGTGAGTCCCTTGAAGCTCATAGAACTGTTCTTGTTGCAGCCTCCTCCATCTTCAAGAATGTTTTACTGGGAGAAATGTCTGCAAACCATGAATCTTTCCAGTACATCTTTGAAGATGTTTCATGGATTTGTGATGGAGAAAGTAACTGCCCAAATCTTCCTCATATCGAAGGGAAATGCCAGGGCAAAGGTAGAACTGTAATAAGGTTGCATGAGAGCATTACTAAAGGCATTTTCGCTGAGGTATTGTCCTTCCTTTACACTGGATCGCCTAGTGTAACAGATGATAAAGACAAAAATTTTATCACAGAAATTCAAGATGCTGCCAAGAAATTTCAGTTGACATGGTTGATAGATACCTGTACAAACATCCTGTCAGGAGATTCTTTCCTTAATCCAAGTATTGGCACATGGCTGAATGACAACACGGGACAAACAGCTAAAAATTTGTTTCTGAACAAGCCATTTTTAGCTGATGTCAAGTTCTGTGTTGAGGGCACCATTGTTTATGGACACAAGTTGATATTAAAATCAAGGTCAGAGGTCATGGCAGCCATGTTGGGTGGGGCCTTTAGAGAGAGTGACTTGGATACAGAGGTAAGCATATGTTTAGTAGCTTGTTGGTTCCAGGTTTACAGTTATTTGAGCAGAAAAAAAGATGTTCCCTAACCTACAGTACAGACTGAGAAAACTAGGTTAACCCTATACACCCTAACATCAATATGTATATTCTCCATCCTGTTCTCTAAACATTTCCTAAGGTGGTGACAAGGATAATTTGTTTAAGAATTAAGAGCGTCTTTAGTTGGTGATCAGTTCCTTTATTCTCCTGACCTTAATGTTTGATTCTGGGGTGATATAGTAAGGAGAAATTAGATGCCAGTCACTCTTAGGGGTTAAAGGGTCAAAGTAGTATATTATGTCTCTGGGTTCAAATGGTGGGGAGAAGATTTAAATGGAAGAAAAACTTTTCAGTTGAGTAAGTCAGACAGTGAAATACAGCCTACTAAAATGACAAATTATAGCACATATACTTAGGGAGAGATACAATAAGTAGGTTTATAACAGATTGTATTTCTCACAACCTATATTTATTCCTCAAAGATTGAGATCAAAGACACAACCCTGCAAAGTTTTTTGGCACTGCTGGAGTACCTCTACACTGACCATGCCCCAATAGAGGAGGGAGATTCAGTAGAAATAATGGTTTTAGCAGACAGATTCTGTCTTCCAAGACTTGTGACAATGTGTGAGTTGTACACAACCAAGAAAGTTGATTCTTTGATACAGAAAAGGGTGTCTGATGGCACTAAAGATGTCATAAACCTCCTTCTCACATCACAGGTATGACCCAAGTTTGTTCAGGAGAATACAATGGCAGAAATTAATAGTTTTGTTGCCCCTATGGTTAATGAATTTTAACTTACTAGATGATTCAAGAAAAAGAAGTAGAATTTAGCTATGGCATATCTATGAGAGTGGTTCTTCATGCAGAGAATTTGGAATTATTATGACAATTTTTTTTGAGGATGGCAAGAACCAACAATTTACTTGACCCAGATATAATACAAAATTCTCATAACTTATCTATGTAGAACATTGGTATTTACACATTAACTAACAGAAATTATTCATAATTATTTGCCAGGCATACAATGCTAAACAGTTGGCTGACTGGTGTCTTCATTTCATTTCAACCAACTTCTCAGTCTTTGAATCCACTGAAGAGTTTGAGCTTCTTCAAGGGGAAAACAGGAAACATGTGATTCAACATAGATGGCCTCCTCTTGCCTATTTACAAGCACTAGAAGAATTTGAACAAAAAGCCCCGCAATCTAAGCTTACTTCCAAGTGTAAAATGATGTGAAATATATGCTACCAGTAAATCCAAGCAATATATTGGAAAATGATCTTGTAACTGGACTAAAAGAATTAGAAACTATGTGGATGAACCTTTAATTTATATAGTCTTTTACTAGTGTCTATATTGTAAGGTAAAGGAAGCTATCAAGTCAAAAGGCTCATACTGCTAATGCTTATCCAGTTTTCAGTACAAACAATTCAAGGTATGGAAACTCCACCTTGCCCCCTCTCCCCCTCCCTCTTCCTTGGCTGGATGTCATTCCATTACAAAGTTTCTTTGGAATCAATGATTTTACAGTTATCTTTGACAGTTGAACACCTGGGTGGAGAGTGGCACTGTTAAATTATTAGAGTATCTTACTTAAAAACTCAAAACAATGGCATGGCTAGGGTTTGAACATGGCCTTTCTGATTCAGAGTCTAGTACCTTTTAAAAGTAATTAGCCAGCAGGTCTCAAATGGATGGCTGCTTGAAATGAACCAAAAATTATGGTTAAAAAAAGAAAAGAAAATTGCAACCATGGCTAACATGTTTGTTTCTAAAGATACCTTTAATTAAATATGACTATGGCTTGTATAAGTATGTTTATGATGCAAGTTCCTTCCCCTCTCTAAGATCAAGCATCTCTAGACACCATCCTGGAATACATGAATGATTATTTAAGTAAAATATTGAAAGAGTACAACAGTAAAGTGATTAAAAAAAATAATGTTATAATTGTTTTATATTGCAGAGAAGCAGAGCATGCTGCATTATCTTTAACAAAAGTATTGAAACTTGCTCTGATAAGAGCTCTTATGAATAACAGAAACCTAATCCCATCTTTTTTATCATCAAAAATTATGACTGCATTGGTTTTCACAGTTTACACTGTGAATTCTTGGATCTGTTATTTAACAGAGTTCAGCATTATTTCCTTAAAGAGTTCTAAATCCATCTTTGTAATTAATCGTACATTAACAGGTTTTTGTAGCATTTGCCGCCAATCAATCACCATCTGTCCTCGTGTCAATCCCTCCTTGAGTTCCACTGTGGCATGAACTGAGGTTTCTTCTTGAACAAACTTTGGTTGTAGAGCTGCACACAATGCAAATGGATCACAAGATATAAATTCACCATTCATTTTCTCTTCATATTCTTTAATCTTTGTTGAAATCTTCCTCATGAATTCTGCTCGTTTGGTACCAGCTCCCACATATTGCTCAAAAAACTCCCAATCCAAAGGGTGCTCTAAACAGGTCTCCCATGATACAAGGGAAATTGGACATTTAAACTGATTAAGGAGAATGTAGGCTGCTTCAGGGTCAGCACCAAAGTTGAATTCTGCTGAAACCCAATGATTTCCTTTGCCATGAATGCATCCTCCTAGTATAAATACCTCTTTGACCTTTTTCGTAAATTCAGCATCAAAGTTAGAAGCCAAAGCAATGTTGGTCAAAGGGCCAAGAGCAATGATGACAATTTCGCCAGGGTTCTCATTCACAAGTTGGACTAAGGCCTGAGCAGCATGGGTTTGTTGAAGAAGACTTGTATCTGGGTCTTTAATATCAGTGGCATCTCCAAGGCCATCAAATCCATGGTATAATGGTTGCTCATAGGCGATTCCTAACGTTGAAACACATAAGTCATGTTTAATTAATTGTTTGTAGACAATGAATCTGGATGAATTGGAACAAGCGAGTGATGTTGCATATTAACACAAAAGAGCCCCTCAATTCATTAATTACGTCAGCTGAAGTACTTATGCAAACTGTCCTTAAAACTTCCTTTACTGTTGCAATCTCGTAAAATTATGAGGCCCCACACTGTTGGGAAGGGCTTGCACTTTGAGATCCCAGGTTGGAATGGAGATTTGAATTTCTCCGTAAAAACTGTAAAGCTCAGAGTCTCATTATTCTACGAGTTTCAACGGATTTCCACGAAAATGCCTTAATATTTATCAAACTGAACATAGCTGATCGTATTATGCCATAGGGTTGATTTTTTCTTTAGGTTTAAGTGAAAAGTCGGAAAACCGTACCCATTGAGTTTGAGTGGCCTCTTCTCTAATTGCAGCTCCTCGTAGTTGCAGTGTCTGTCACGGTATTCTTTCTTTCCTTGAATTACACTGTTACCCTCGTTCGATGACATTCAAAATAAACCAGGGAATTTGGTAAGAATCGGAATTAACCATACCTAGTAAAGATCTGTACGCCCCTTTGTACACTGGTATGTCGGTTCGCTCGCAGGCCTCAAGGACCTTTAGCACGTTCTTGGTAACTTGATCAACATTCACGTTGCCACATGTACAAGTGATGGCTAAGACGTCAACCTCTTGAGATAGCGCTATCATGATAGCTTGGGCATCATCAATACCAGCATCACAGTCAATTATAATCTTCATTTTCATGTTTTCTTACCAAAGGGAACCTTTCTTTCCTCAGAAGAGGAGCTTAAGAGACTGGGGCAAGGGTAGCCGTATGTGTTGAGGCGTGGGGCGGGTGGGTATGTCCCGCGGAACGGCCTCTAGACCTTCTTGCACTCTTCAGTCTTCATCGATTATTTAATGCTACAATTTCCTTAATTTTTAAAACTAAAAAAGAAGGAAGTGTGCATAATTTTTGGGAACACCGTTAAAACCAGTTTTTCGGTGTGGTCGTACTAAGATACGAGAGGCAAAGATTTTAAGGGGAGTAGGGTAAGTGAGAACCAGACACGTGCGACACAAATATGGCGGCTGCCTGTAAATCAAAATTGTTGTGTGGTTGTTTCTTCTATAGTTCCGGTTGAAGGAACTGTTTGGTTACAATCATAGAAAATTGTGAGAAAACTCCCCACGGGTAGCATTCAAGTCAATCGAATGATATTTTTAGGATGTATTCACGTCCTTTGAGCTTGCAAATGACGCGCTGTTTGCGCGCAGTAACTGGTTACTCTGGGACACGAAGGACTCAGGTAAACCTGCAACGAGTTTTCTTAAGGAAACAACCACTTCGCCCGTCTACTACGTTATCTGAAGCAGAAAGAAAGGAAGATTCCAAAGAAAGCGACGAAGAACCAAAATCCTGGAGAGAAAATCCAACCCTGAAATACTGGGTTCTTGGCTCACTGGGAATCTCTGGCTCTGTTTATTACTACGTTTACAGGAATCACGAAAAGAAACGATTGCAAGTAAAGCATTTGCCATCAACACCCAGTCATTTCGTACTTTCCCGTGAACGAGATCTCTCCGCGCTTTTTTCCCTTCATAGTCAGTTGAAGGGAAGGGAATCTTTAACTGTTCTCCATATTGTTGGCTGTCCCGGGTCTGGAAAAACAGAACTTGCTCGGGAATTTGCCGAGAAACTCTCCAGAGAGGAACAAGAAAGGTACACCTTTCTTCCAGGCAATCTCTTCTTTGGGACTTTAAATGGTGCATCGGTAGAAAGCCTCCTTTTTGACGTGAAAAGGTTTGCAATTTCTGTTGGTTGTTTTGAGAGTGATTGGACATCGAAAGCAGGTGAAGGGGTTAATTTCTCCAGTCTGTCCAAGGAAGCGCAGCTAGACTGCCTTGTTGATGCTGTTAGGGAAAAACTTAAAAACAGCCAAGGCTGGATTCTAATTTTGGAAAATGTTAAAGATAACGAAGCTATGTACCGCTGGTTTTCTGCAAATTCATCAAAAAATTGGGGTAATGGAACAGTTCTCCTCACAAGAGATGGCCATGTTGACAGTGATGCAATGATCAACAATACTTACAGTATTGATGAAGGGTAAGAGCATTTGCATGACTTTTTGCATACCATGGGAAAAAAATCATTTTAACACTTAGACTCCCAAAGGTGATTAACATACAACTTATCTCCATGATATCTATACATGGTCCAGCAAACAGATAATGAGAATACCCATACTTATCAGGTAGAAGTTGTCATCTTGACCTAACTCCAAATTCTTATTACTACTCTACAATAGAGGGGAGAATTATCAATCAGATCTTAGGGTCAATCTAGATGGTTTATTTTCACACACTTTTTAAAATATATTTTGGTAATGAGCATCTCTCTAAAGCAGTAGTACTTAAAATTTCCAAAACTAGGGGTTTTCGTAAAATTGTAAGTCTGCATGCTATTTTAGTCCCAAACAAATCTGACTCTACTTTTGTCAATGTTTGCTACTGAATCACAACTGGCATTATTTTGCTTGTGAGTACAGCAATGTGATCATTCTGTCTCAATCATTTTCTTTCTTTCTTTTAGATTGCCTATGGATGATGGGATAGAACTTCTTTCAAAGTTGAGTGGATTGGAAGGAAACAAGATGACTGCTGCAAAAGACATTGTAACAATTCTAAAGGGGATTCCTCTGGCTCTCACATGTGCTGGTCATCACATGCAATCAAAAGTGCTGAAAAATCCCAACTATTCCAGTTTAGACTTTTTAAGTGAGTTTAAATCAGAGCTTCAGAACTTCACAAAGGCTAATGGGGAGATGGCATTAAGCCCCACATATGTCATGGTTAGCATGGAAACAAAAAGCCTTGTGCAGGAAAACTTCCATCTTCTTCATGCTTTTGATTTTCTGGCAACCTGTACACCTAATTGGCCAATACCAGTGAGCCTCATTGCTCTACATCTGAGGTCACCAGATTTTAATCTACCCCCTGTGGAAGGCAGTGGACCTGCTCTGCCAAGCCAAAAACCCACTGAGGCTGAACAAGGGAATAGCTCAGAACAAGAGGTAGAAGAGATGTTCCTATCAATCAAGAAACTGGCCAAGAACTTGGAGAACTTTATAACAGCAGTAAAAGATAACATTGATGCTATCAGAGCCATGCTTAACCCTGTACTGCCTGATATGCCACAAATGTTGGACGGAAATGTGGAGATGTTAAAAGCTTGTCCATTAGTTTCTGTTAGAAGAATGGAGCCCATGGGTAAGAAAACTGTTTTTTT